CTTATTTGCTTATTATAGCAATACAAATAATGGATAATAGAATTTAATAAAGTGTGTTAAATAAAAAGCTATTACAATTAAATGAAATCTAGTGTTCAGAAATAGAATGTCTATTATCTCTAAAATTGCAATAAGAGAAACTCTCTGAAAAATTACTGGGGAATTGTGTGAATATATGCCGACTGCATGATTGGCTGATCCATGTAAATGTACCAAGAAGTCTTGGTAGCCATGAATCTTTAGTTGGCTACTTCTTTTTCCTATGTACCAAACTCTAACTGCAATGGTACGTCAGTATGATTCTAAATGGAAAGAGAATAATCTAGTACACAGATGACTTGAAAGTCCCTGGAAACTTCCTATGAGTGCCCAGCTGCTTCCATTTTTCCATAACCACATGTGAAAGCCTTACTAATTTTTACTAGCTAGCATCTGAACAACATGTTATCTCCATTTTTCCAAATAAAGTAGCAACCCTGCCCATGCTGAGTCAGAATAAATGTCCTACAGGTGCCAGCGTTACCCAGCTAGTCATGATGGCTGGGCAATGCTGGGAATTGTAGTAACTTTCTGTGTGGGATTGTGTTGTAACTATTTTATATTGTTTAACTTTTTGCTTTCTCAAGACCCCTGCACACAGTTAACAATGGCTTGGTTCCAAAGATGCTGGTTTTACAAGTAGATGACTTCTCACACAATGCTTTCTTGATCTTGCAGACTTCTGTGGAAGGTACAAATGCTAATACTGTGGTTTAGGGATGGATCAATCTGTCAGTTCCACTTTCTCCCACTTTTTTTAAAAATCACATTCTTTCCATCCTGCGTATAAAGAAATCTGCAAATTTTGGTAAGTTAGAAAAAGTAATTTTAAAAAATTTGAGCCCTCTGTATCAGCAAAATTTGGAACAACTATTTGCACTGTAGAGGACAAAGTGTTGTATCTGCCTGCCATATATCTGCTGAATACGAGGAACAACTTTGATTCAATACTAGAAGCATGGTTTAAAGAATACTTAGGGATTCAAACCCAGATTTTAAAGTGGTAAACACTCAGGACGTTTTGTCAGAAAGGACAAATATGTCAGATTCACCTTCTTTCATCTTCATTTTTTTAATTCTTAAATTTTATGAAACAATTTACTAATTTTTAAAAACAAATTAACAAAATTGCCACCCATTCCTTCTGGCAAACTTTCATGATAGTGTGGAGCCAGGAGGTAGGAGAATTGCTGAAATCAGATGCATACAGAATGATGGGAATTGTAAAAATCTGGGGACACTTTGCCTTTTCAAGTGCCTTCTTTTCACACTTGGACATCCTAGTCAGCATCTTTCATGTCGTATTTTCATACAGTCCAATAAGGACAGTACCACTTTTCTCCAGTGCAAGCAATTCACCATGTTTCAGCCTCATTTTGCCATTCACAAAATGGAAAAAATAACTATTTTAAAGAGCTGTGAGCAAGTGCTACACACAAAACAACAACAGCCATCTTCATGTGATGATAAAAGGAGTAGTGAGTATGTAACAGTATGCATGTTTGTTATAAACTGTGGTAACGCTGGTCTTCACATGCACATAAAGGCTACAGCAGCATAAGTAAATATAGGCCAATGAACAGAAGGAACAAGAGCAGCATGTCATTGTTTTGCATCCTAAACCTAGCATAGTCAAAATGTGTGCGCAGGATGGGTAGCAATGACGTGCATCCAATAAATATGGATTTACAGAATATTCAAAACAAGGCTTGTAGAGTCTATGGCAGCACTATTTTCAACTGCCACATAAATGTGATTTTAGAGGCTTTTCTGCTGTACTTTATTGTATCAATGACTTTGTGTGCAGTCCTAACTTAGCAGATTCTTAAGTCATATGCCTTTTAAACTGGGGAGCAAGCTGTTGTATCAGGGGCCTCCTCGTCCACTGCACTGTTCAGTTTGAACTTTATAGGAGTACTCCACTAGGGTACTCTACAGTGCTGGACTTAGTTTTGCAATTGAGTTCAGCACCATGAAGAGCTACAAAGATGAGAATGAAAGCTGCAGTGGACCAAAACCCCTGTGACATAGCCGTTACCAGCCTCCCTAGCCAATGAGCTGCAGGTGTCTTGAGTCTCAATGCATAACAATTCCTTTGAGATTATTTCATCCTTCTTTATCAATGCACTAATGTTTGGTATATGATTTGCATTGGATCAGTACATGGTAGCCAACTTATGTGAAAGTGGGAAGTTTCTCTGTTTTCAGAATGTGTTCCTTGTTTGTTTTAACAGTTCACTGGTGGTGCTAAAGCATAGCCTATCCTAGACTAATGGCTCACAAAATATCTCCCAATACCACCAAGCCATAATCTAGCTTGCAGATGAAATAATATTTTTAAACTGCTAAATCCTATTTTAAATCACCAATAGCTAGCTAAGGAGGAAGGGGAAGGGGAATGGGGGAGGGGGGAGGGGGGAGGGGAAGGGAAGGGAATAAGCACTATATTTTAACTCCAGAGGCCTGAGCCAACCGAGACACCTCACATCAGCTTCAAGAATACTTAAGAAGAAATGAAAGCATCTAGATCAAAGAGAAGATACATCTTACTGAATATATACGATGGTGATTGGAAGCAGATTATCAAGAAAGAAGCAAAGGAAGTGCTTACAGATGTCCCTGCAGTCACAGGGCTTCCTGTTGTGATAAATGTTGCTCTTGGGGCACTAGTTCCTTGGAGAACTTCATGCTTCTGTTTTCAAGTGGAAGGCCAAAGAACAATGTCCCTTGCCATGGCGTTCCTCTCTGCCTTGGTTTCAAAGGTTTTCAGTATACACAGACTACCCCCTCTCCCGCCGCTCCCAGGAAGCAAGGGAAGGAGGGTGAGAGAAGCTCAGACATCCCATTTAACTTCAGCAAAAGGATGTGTAAATATTCTTCTATGGATGAGGTGAGCAAAGCTGGTGATTTCATATCCTCACTAAGGCCCTATAAGTTTATTCCAGCAATTCAGCCCAAAAAATTCTTAACACCTTTGCCGGACACAAATTATACTGAAGTGCCTGATCTTGAAAGCGAAGCGAAGTCAGCCTTGGTCAGAGGCTGGATAGGAGATTTGAGTCCTGAACTGGGCAGAGGGCAGGAAGTGATGACCTTCTAGGCCCCTTCCAACTGTATGATTCTATGATTCTCATTGCAATGGTTTCTGGTTCTTGATCCTACTGCACACTGTAACAAGGATGATTGTCAAAGGGGCTGTTTTCAAATATATATTATAGATTCACCTTTTTCTCACACAAACATTAATTGCTATTATGCTTTCTAGCATAAAAATAGAAAAGGCTTTATAAATAATTTCCATACCAATGTGTAAAGGATTTTGATTAAACAAATCAACTCTAGTGGCACAAATGCCTCAACATGTTACTAAGACAAAAAGGAAACATAATAATATCAACTCTGTTTTTCCTTTCCTTCCCTGGCTCTTCATGTAAAGCACATATGGTGTTACTTTGAGTCTGGACACATGGTAAGAGACCTTTTGTGCCTAAATATTTAGAAGAGAAGAAATGAGGGGAAGTTAATGCAAATTAACCAGTTTTAATGGCCTTGTGGGAAATAATTGGAAATAATCTTAACTCTTGTCATAATAGAGACAGAACACAAAAGTTTAACTGTGAATGGGCCAAACTAGCTCCCTAAGGCTTAAACTTGTGCCTGAAATCATAATTACCGCTTGAATTCACTTCCCAACTCATAACATCCAAACTTTTAATAATAATGCACCTCCATGTAGAAAAAAATCTGTAACAGAACAGAACAGAAAATTCACTGACTGAAGAATTTCTTTACAAGTTACAGGAGCATGGAGGTATCTTTACACAACTTTCCCTCAGGGCATCCTCCATACCAATATTGGAAAGTCTGCAATCAAAGAAGTTTGCTGCTGGTGATTTTGTTCCATTTAAGCTAAAGATTTTGCGGCATTTTCCTTTCAATAACTGGTGGTGGTCTGGAGCAGCTCCTCCCTCCTGGAAATGTTCAAATTTTGTGCACATTTTTAAAAAGTATATGGGGTGGAGGTGGAATTCCATGATTTACACAGGGATCGTTTTAATGTGTTTTGGTATTTAAATTTGTGGAAATAGGCTTGCATTTTTTTAATGAATGGTTTTTCACAAGCTTGACTGCTATGTATTATAGTGGTCAATATCCTTGTAAATATCCTTGTCAGCATCATTCTCCTTAAACACTCTACTTTGTTTAGCTCAGTAGAACCATCATCTTGTATTTGTCAAAAGACTTGTGCACTTCACCTGTCATTTCCCCGAGCAAAATATGGGGAGAGTGCTGAAGGCGAGGATGAAATTGACAAGTTCATTGATAAGTAGAGAACATGGCTGTGCTGAGTTAACTGAAGCAGCGTGTGCAGAGAAGGAAACTGACAAGGCTGGCTGAATTCGAAAACACAAGTTTCCCTTGTTATATTACTTGTAATATCCCTTCTCCAAAATGCTGGCACTGGTGCACCCTGGTAAAGCCATTCACTGTGATTAGATCCTGGGGCTGGCTGCATACCTATACATCAGGCTAGCATATATGAAAAGCTTGGTGAGAAATGCATTAGGTTTTTCAAATGCATTGCCTGCCTTTATGTGTCCTTCTCTAAGGGAGAATACAGATTTGGATTGTGTCTCCTTGAAGGAACTCTCCTTTTATTGAGACATCTCCAATACCTGTCCAAATAAGCTCAATTTGGCTGAATCCAGTGCATACTCCTATACTACTGAGCTAAGGATGCTTATGGTAAGTATCTCTTCCGTTCTAGTTGAACACTCATGATACCACTGGGATGAAACTATTACTGCATGGTTTGGTAGTGTATCCTGTTACTATGCTTTTCCCCTAGGCAACAGCATTAAAAACTCATTTGCTCTGGTTTTAGTAAAGTCCCTCAAGGAAGCCCCACAAGCATCACCAGCTAAATATCCAAGAAATTATTGCTGATAATTGCAACTCACCTCTCCTTCTCTTGGCCATGGCCTCCCATTCTGTGTGTACTTGCTTTGATTCTGTCTTTTCTTTTGCCCTCCATCAGCAAATTTGCACAGCAAAGGTTCCGTAGGGGCTGTTGAGACAGGAAAACCCAGTTGGTATTAGCAACCCCCCCAAAGTGAGTCATTATACCAACAACTGTTTAACACTTTGTTACATTGATGTTTTGAAAGAAAAGGTCGCCTTATGCATCTTGTCTGCATTCTGTTTTTAGTCTTAGCTTTGCTGGCACTGTTCTTACGAAATATGAATGGGAAAAGCTAACAAACCTCACTTAAAAGTGCATGACAAATAAGTTGGTGGTGGGGAGAAGGGAATCACACTGTACAGAAAGAGAAAATTGGACGGGGCACAATATCTAAGAAGGAATATAACAGAAGCTTTGTGACATTATGCATAGAAATCAGGAAATAAATATGTTTTCCTACACTCTCTCTCATAATGCTATAATTTGGGTGACTCAGTGAAATTTGTTAGCCATAGGTTTAGGGCTGACCAAATGAACTACTTCTTCACATAGTGAATAATTAAGTTAGGGCACAATCTTACTAATGTTTAGACAGAAATAAATCCTACAAGTCGGCTCAGGTACAAACGGTGAGTAAAGGACCAAAGGCAGGTACCTCACACAAATGCTGGAAGCTGTAGGATTTTTCTCTCTGTATATATATTTGCCTAGTGTGTGTGTGTAGGCACAAGGATCCTTAAGTATCCTTAAGGATACTTGTGTCCTTAAGGAATTTGCTAGTACAGCCTCCAGATGTTTTGCACTGCAACACCCATCATCCCTGACCATTGGCTTATAGGGACTGTGGTTCAACATAGCTGGGAGGTCATCACAAAAGGGACGGCTGTGTTAGTGCATGACCACGGTACAGCATTTTGCTTAGACAGTTTTCACAGGACGCCAAGATAAATTGATAGTAGGTAGATTTAGCAGTGGTTATTGGTCATATTGGATCCACTGAAATGCCACACTCAGATCTACGATTGTGGAACAGCCTTCATGCCCTGTTTGTGCCCCGCATGACTTGTTTTGTGGTTGTCTTGGAACATCCACAAGCCACAGTCAGAAAAGAGGAGCTAGACCAGGCGGAATATTATTCTGCTCCAGACAGGCTCATATGTTTGGAATTAAATTTCTCATACAGAGTTGTAGAGATAAGCAATTATTCTTGTTAAGTTAGTCACATATCCATGGCTGGCATTAGTGAAAGGATAAACACTGCTGCTCTTTTCTGGGGGAAGGGGAACAGAGAGGAGACAAGCCTGTTTGGAGCAATATGTTTTCACTCTTTCTGTGTTTCTCAGCACCCCATGCTTACATATTTGAGTAAGTGAAATAAATACAAGAAGATCAAAGGAGGCTTTTGCCAAACAATCAAATTAGCTTAGTTCCCCCCATTAAATCCTCATAGCTTAAGACAGCTGGCAGATGACCTTCCTTATGCTACCCAGCTGAGATTGCACTCTTTCATCATAAAACAGTCAGCACAGCTAATGCGCAACTGTTCGATGCATGTTCAAAAGATGGCAAACTAGACCAAAAGCAAAAAAAGTCTCAACAACCCATCTCATTTTGTAGGAAAGGATACCAAATAACGTATGGGAAAGACAGAAATCTTTTGTTTTTATTTTTTAAATGGAAACTGTTTAAAAATAAAAGATACTGAGTTAACAAGAGATGTCTTACTAGATGTCAGAAAGGGTGTGGTAATAGAGGAAACCTACTGGCAAACCCCTGGTTATGAACGAGTTTCATTCCTGAGAAAATGGGAATTCATCTTGAAGTTGAATTTGTATCTAAGTATAGTTGGATCATGTATAGTTGGTTGTCCACAATTGCGGGGGTCAGGGGTGCAGGACCCTCATGGAGTGGAAAAAGAGCAAATATCTCTGTTCCCTCCACCCAAACCCACCAGTGACTTCCATTTGTAGCAAGGAAATGCTAGAAGGATTTCCCTTTCCAGGAGGCCGAAGCAGGATGCCCTCTCTATCCTTTCGCTTCCTCTCTCTAGGGTGACGACAATTTCCTGCAGTAGGCTTTTAGCTTGATTTTTTTAAATGAATAGGCTTTATGGCAGTTCGTTCCTAAGTTTGTAACCTCGAGGCTGCCTGTATTGACATATTTGGTGCTCACAACGAAACATAAGCTGATTCTGGCTAAGGATACATTAAAGGGCATCCTGAAAGCACTCAGCATGTGTTGAATAACTTGGATAGAGAGAATATTCCAAGTCTACAACATGAATGAATTGGTCTTTTGTTAGCAGCAGCTACATTTCCACTGGCTCCACAACTAAAAGGCCCCCAGGCACCACCAATATCTATGCAAATTAGTATTGCTTTGCATCTTAATTTCCAGGATGATTTCCGTGAAAAATGATTCTCGTTTCTGGTACATATTGACTGGAAAAAGAGAAGTTTAAGGCTAGTTCTGTGACACTGGTAAAACTCTGTGCATCTGCCTGATTTTAGTGGAACTTCCTTTGTTCCTGCACCACAGCCTACCCCATTCAGCAGGGTCTGCTGTAGCATTTGGTGGAAGGAAACTAGCATGGCCACCAGGAAAATCCATTTCTGTCAGCCCAGTTGCATGTGTCTACTTCGGAACTCACCCTAATGAAATTGCTACCTGGTAACATTGAAGAGAGTATTCTTTGAAATGGGCAAGGAGTAAAACTGGGAAAAGGGACTGGGCTGTAGATGCTGGTTCTTCCCCAACACCTCTGGGTTTTCCTGTCCTTTCCGTCTCTCCACCCTGAGCTGCAGCATCTGCATGGAGTGTTGAGCCAAGCAAAAATCTCCAGGTAAACAGGTTCATACCAGCTTGATAAAACAGACTAACATGTAAGTTGAGAAAAATGTCATTATATCTGTAACAAGTACTAATGGAATGGTGGCTACTATATTGCATACAGAAGGCATCTCATGTACCCATGTCATTTCAGTACTTAAGATAAAGGAATATTAATCTTTCTGTACTGGTTTGCTGGTCACACCTCTAGGCAGTTTTGCATTACACATAAATGCTCCTGGAAGACACGACTAATCAATGACACAATAGCTCCTAATGTTGATGTAATAGCTAAGATACTTATTAACATTTCTGTAATGATTTGCTTTTGTAATCAAAGGAATTCCAGGGAGGTCACACCTCCAAAAGTGCATTGCCAAAAGGACAGACAACAACATGATCTCTCTCAGAGATGTGGAAGCCAAGAGGAGGCTGGCAAATCCAAAATGGAGAAATTCATGGCCAAGTCTGAGCAGAGGCATTTCCTCAGGAAGATGGGTTAATTCTCATTTCATACCTACTCTGACCCCATTAATTATCAGTCCCTGATTGCTGAGGCAATTTTCATTTTCAAAAACTGGCATGTTAGCCGCAGAGATGCACTTGTCCCCTATAGTTTGGCTCTTGAGAAACTCACTTCTATGGAAGCAGTGCTTTTACATCTCCAAGAAAATGACATGCTTAAAAGCCTGGTTCTGATGTTACTTGCCTCTCGGGCTGCCAGGAGATTCAAGTCCAGGAAAGACCTCTTCAGAGGAGGAGAAGAGTTTAGATTCCTCCTCATACTCCATTTCTACAGAGGATGTGAGACAATTTGAGGAGTCCCATTGCAGGGATATCTTATCTGAAGTTCCAAAGAACCACTTCAATGCCATTCAGAGCCCTGTCTTGGTCCCTGATTTTCCTCCTTCATCTCATGGCTTGCTGAAACATTGATGGTGGTGGACCAAGAGCAGAGCCATTACTGAAGTGTCTGCCTGACTGCTAGAAGACTTTTTCATCCAAGTTTATTTAGGAATAAGACTCTGTTCAGGTCAAATATAAGTCTTTGCACTGATTTATTAACTGGGTAAACTTCCTAGTTTCTGTATTTTTAATTATTATTGAGCAGGCTACAGGATACTTCAGATTTCCAGTTCCAAGCCTGTAGGTGCTATTTTTTTGAAACAGGTATATGAAAATGAGAATTTTTAAACAATTATGTATACATGCATACATACTGAAACACCAATTTAGAAAACATTCCTGGTTTGATCCAGAGAAGTCAGACTAGGATTTTTGAGCCCATAAACATTCTCCAGAACATGAAAACTTTTATCACTTTAAGATGGCAAACCCATATTTAATTTCATGGAAGCATCCTGAACCAAAGTCAGGGTAATTTTGTTCAAGCTGTTTATATGTGATATGCTTTGAGTGTGCTATCAGCACCATTGACTTCGCCATTGAAGAATGCATCTAAATTAGTACAATAATTCTATTTTCTTCAGGCTTCTTCTAAACATTGGAGTCTGAGACCCTAAGTCAGGGCGGGCAACTGAGATGTGGCCTGTGCCAACATGGAACTGACTCATGGTCTTTCTTCCAAGGCCCTGCACACTTTCTGTCCTGCCAGGGAACCCATTATGACACTGGTGAGCCAAACAGAGGCCTTCCTCCAGCCCCATGCCCTCCTCTCAGCTGCCCCCAAGGCATCTATGGGGGTTCTTGTTGTCTTCAGCACTCAGTCATGGCCCTCTTCTATGTCATGCCATCAATCCCTTTCTGGTGCTTGCACTACAAAGAGGCTGTCCATGCTATGGTGTCCTTCTCCCTTGCCCATTATTCCCTTTCAGTGGAATCGCAACCCTTTGGGATCAGTTACATTCTCTTCCATGTGAGGGGGAAAGGGAGGTTGGCTGCCATGACAGAGACTGAGATTTCTATCAAGAAGTCATCTTATATTAAGCTAGGAAAGAAGAAGCCAATTTGTATTAATCTAGGGATGTAGAGAGCATGAATAAAAATGCTTTCACCAACAGAGATGGGGTGACTGAAGTGAGGTTCACATAACATAATGGAGAAAAGAACAGAATTGTGGAGTTGTGAAGGAAATAGGCCTAGCCAATCTGAATTGCTGCTCTACTGATGACTGGAATGACCTACCTCAGGTCAGAAGTTGCACACAGCAGCTTTGCAAGCTTGGCAGAAAAGATTTTGGGAGAAAGGCAACCCTCTGTTGAGTTTTAAAACCATCTTGTCTCTACCAGGGCTGCCAAATTTTGATTTCAAGTACT